CCGGCACCGGCCCGGCTCCTCCTGGCTCCGCTCGCTCGCCGTTCCCGGCCGGGGACCGGGGGCTCCGCAGCTTGCGGAACGCGTCGGCACCGGGCGGGGGTCGGTGTCTCCGGGCTCCCGGCTGCTGGAGGGGGCACTTCTCCGTCTCGTCGCAGCCCGCTGGTCTCTAACGAGCCCCGGCGATAAATCCGAGGAGGCGGCCGGCCCCCGGCTGTCGGCGGCGTCCCGCGGACCCGAGCGTGGTGCGGCGGGAGCGACCCCCGAGCCGCCGCCTGCGCGCCCGGCGGCACCGCTCCCTCCCGGGCGGGCGGGATGCGCCGCGCAAAGCAAACAGTTAAAGATTTCGGGGGGAGGAGCCAGGCCGCAATCCGCAATTAAAGATGAACTTTGGGTGAACTAATTTATCGGACCAAGGTAGGGTGGGCAGCAACCTGGGAAGGGTATAAAAGGCGGCCGGCGGCGAGCCCGGGCCGCGCACTCGGAGCTGCCGGGGGCCGGGCGGGAGGCGCTCCCCAGCCATGGGCTTCTCCGCCCTGGTCGCCAGCGCCCTGTGCACCTTCCTGCTGCCCCTGCTGCTTTTCCTGGCCGCCGTCAAGCTCTGGGACCTGTACTGCGTGAGCAGCCGCGACCCCAGCTGCCCGCTGCCGCTGCCCCCCGGCACCATGGGGCTCCCCTTCTTCGGGGAGACGCTGCAGATGGTGCTGCAGGTAAGGGCAAAGGCGGGCGATGCCGCGGAGAAGCGCCCCGGCTCCTCCTCTCCCTGCAGGGGAGGGGGACGAGCGGCGGCTTCGCCGGGCTCCCGTGCCCAGGTGGGACAGAGCCGCTCTCCCTGCCCCTTCCTCTTCTCCTTTTTAAAATTTATTTTATTATTCCCCTCCGCCCCTTCTGCTGTCCAGAGGCGGAAGTTCCTGCAGATGAAGCGCAGAAAATACGGCTTCATCTACAAGACTCACCTCTTCGGGCGGCCCACGGTGCGGGTGATGGGCGCCGAGAACGTGCGGCACATCCTGCTGGGCGAGCACCGGCTGGTCTCGGTGCAGTGGCCCGCCTCGGTGCGCACCATCCTGGGCTCGGGCTGCCTCTCCAACCTCCACGACGGGCAGCACAAGCACCGCAAAAAGGTACGGCCCCGACGGCGGGCGGGGAGCGGGGGCGGCCGCCCCGGGCGCGGCGGCTGAGCCTGTGTCCTCTTCCTCCTCCTCCTCCTCCTCCTCGTCCCCCCGGGCAGGTGATCATGCGGGCCTTCTCCCGGGACGCCCTGCAGCACTACGTGCCCGTCATCCAGGAGGAGGTGAGTGCTTGCCTGGCGCAGTGGCTGGGCGCCGCCGGGCCCTGCTTGCTGGTGTACCCCGAGGTGAAGCGCCTCATGTTTCGCATCGCCATGAGGATCCTGCTGGGCTTCCAGCCCCGCCAGGCCAGCCCCGACGGCGAGCAGCAGCTGGTGGAGGCCTTCGAGGAGATGATTCGCAACCTCTTCTCCCTCCCCATCGACGTGCCCTTCAGTGGGCTTTACCGGGTAAGTCTCCTGGCGGGCCGGGGGGAGAGGGGTGCCCCCGCAGCCAGGGCAGTGGGAGACGGGTGGGGGGGATGGCAGTGTTGGCCAGCGTCCCACGTTGCTCTCCCTGCTGCCTGGCCAGGGCTTGCGGGCACGCAACATCATCCACGCCAAGATCGAGGAGAACATCCGTGCTAAGATGGCCTGTAAGGAGCCTGAGGGCGGCTACAAGGACGCGCTGCAGCTGCTGATGGAGTACACACAGGGCAACGGGGAGCAGCTCAACATGCAGGTGAGGTTTCCCAGGGCCAGGTCCACCCCTCTCCCCTAGCCCCTCTGTCAGTAGCATGCCTATATTTTGGGAGCAAAAGGAGAGAGCAGGGGGCTCGTCGCCCTCTCCCCGTGCAATGAACCAGCTTGTGCAGTGCCCTGGGCTGCAGAGGATGCCACCAGGCTGCTGGCTGGGGAGCACAGGACCAGGGCCACATCCCTAGGAAGCGTAAGCACCAGTGCCATCCTGGCCCCTGGGTGTCTCCTCCAGCCTGGGAGTGATGCAGTGATGGGGTGGTGGAGTGGGCTGGGGGGGGATGGTTATATTCAAGACCTGTTCTACGTTCCTCTGTCCTGTGCATGCAAGGAGCTGAAAGAGTCTGCCACAGAGCTGCTGTTTGGGGGCCATGAAACCACTGCAAGCGCTGCCACGTCACTGATTGCCTTCCTTGGGCTCCACCATGATGTCCTGCAGAAAGTGAGGAAGGAGCTGCAGGTGAAGGTGCGTGTCTCCCCGGGAGCCACTTCATAGGAGTGGGCAGTGGGGAAGGTACCTCCAAGAGAGGGGTCCCAGACAGGGCCCCCCTCACCCAGGTGTTACCCTTCTTTGAGGGGGGGCAGGAAAACGTCTCTCACCGAGGGGCAGCTGCTTTGCAGTGCCAGGAGCCCTGGCTGCCCACTCCGTAAAGTCACGGCAGCATCTTCCTTCCTAGGGGTTGCTCTGTGGTGCTAACCAAGAGAAGCATCTGGACATGGAGGTCCTGGAGCAGCTGAAGTACACGGGCTGTGTCATCAAAGAGACCCTCAGGCTGAGCCCTCCTGTTCCTGGAGGATTTCGAATTGCACTCAAGACCCTGGAGCTGAACGTAAGCGGGGCTGGGGCTGGACTGTGCAGCGCAGCTGCAGAGCATCGGTGCATCCCTGTCTGGGGGAAGCCAGGCAGGGAGGTGGGGGGCACCGACGTGTCCTGCGCTGACAATTCACCTTATTTAACACAGCAAGGTGCCTCATGTCTCCTTCCCTTCTTCTGACAGGGTTACCAGATCCCCAAGGGCTGGAATGTTATTTACAGTATCTGCGATACCCACGACGTGGCAGATCTCTTTACCAACAAGGATGAATTTAACCCGGATCGCTTCATGTCTCCATCTCCGGAGGATTCTTCTAGGTTCAGTTTCATTCCCTTTGGCGGGGGCTTGAGGAGCTGCGTGGGCAAAGAGTTTGCAAAAGTCCTTCTAAAAATATTTACAGTGGAGCTGGCTCGGAGCTGTGACTGGCAGCTGCTGAATGGACCTCCTACAATGAAAACGGGCCCCATAGTGTACCCCGTGGACAATTTGCCAACCAAATTCATAGGTTTCAGCGGCCAAATCTGAGAGCTCAACGCTTGCCTCTGGCTGGATTTCTATGTAGCATCTAATTATGTACATAGCAACTTTTTATAGTAACAAAGGCCTTTAAATATTTAAACTTGTAAATGTACAATAGTTATTTATGTCTTCTAAATATTTCAAAAGGCTATGATATTTTTTCCCCAAGCACTACAATTATGGGTCTCTGATTCATAATTAGAGAATGTTATTTCTATAGAAATAAGTCTTCCCCTATTTAAAAATCTTACTGAAAGCTGGCCAGCTGAGGATTTGAAGACATTTCACAATGGTGTATGTATTAAGAAATATTCTTAAAGGCATTTGAAACAATGGTAACTAGCTACTCATCCAAATTACCTAAAATGGTTATTGTTTGAGAATGTTTCCAGTATTATTTGTGTCTAGATCTGTTTAATGTGTGAATTTTAAGTTTGATAATAAAGTTTATTTTTGATGATCCTCTGTGTGTGCTAGAAGAGTAGCTTAACCAACAGGTCTAATGGGTTTGGATGTAGAGTCAGATCTGCTTTTTCTGAATGAGCTATTTGCTTTTTCTGTGTCGATAACCCTCCCCTGCCTCCCACCCGCAATGTGGTTCTCACTTGTGAATAGTAAA